TAAGTTACAAAATCAAAGTTAAAAGTAATTAGAAATACTAATTTGAATTTATTATTAAATTAATTAAATAATTAAAAGAAGAAAAGTATAATACAATAATATTGTTTGCAAAATGTTATTAAACAAAATATTTCTAACAAAAATTCAGAATTAATTTTTTCCCAATTATGATTAAAAATCAATTAAATGCACGATAATATATTTTCAAAACGAGATGTGATTTATTTACATATTTATTTACATATTACGTGAATTACTTTGATTGAATTTAGAATTAGATGAATAAATTGGATATAGAGTAATGGTTCTTACGTTAATAAAACGATGAAGAAATAAAAGAAAAAAAGAAAAGGAGAACAAAGGTATTGTAGAATTAAACTTTACAGTAGATACTTTATGTATATATAGATAGAGAGAGAAAGAAAAAGAGAGAGAGAGAGAGAGTATGGGTGATAGAGGGTAGAAGGAAAGATGTCGGACAAAGTATCACCCTCTCGTATACGTGGCCCAACCGAGTGTTTCCGAATGTACCTTGTTCCCGTTGTCATACCTACCTTCAACCAACCTCCACCCCTACACCTGTCGTTAACGTGTATAGATCGGTGCCGTCGTGTACGGCCATCTCTATTCGCTATCTTATGCACAAAATTTTCTATGACGAATAAAATTCTTTTACCTTTTATTACCTATCTGACATATTAAAACTTAATCAATTATTTATTCCGTTTTATTTTAAAATAAGAAATTGCATCGTGTGTTTATGTATAAAAATGTATTTTTAAATTCAATCAATTTGAATATTAATTTAAATGAAATCATTCGAATATTTTATAATATTGTAATAGAATGAAATGATTCATTTGTTTAATGTAATATGTTTCTTTTTTATTCTAAATAAAATAATTGATTTATTGTATTATTAATGTGTTATTAGTTATATTTATTTTTCTATAACGAATAAAATTTCAATAAGAATTGCATAGTTCTTTAAATTCAAATGAAATTATTAATATTTATTATATTTATTAATTTTAATATTTCATTCTAATTTAAATAATATTATTATCGAATAAAACTATTAATTTGTAAGATAATATTTCGTTTTTTTTTTCTTCAAATAAAATAATTAATTTATTGTATTATTAATACGTTATTAATTATATTATATAGTATTTAAATGTTTAACAAAAAAAATGATTATAAGAAAATTATATTTTCCAATCAATCAATTTGAATATTAATTTCGTAAAATTAATTCCAATAAAATCGAATATATTTTCTTCTAATTTAAATAATATTATAATCAAATAAATCTCTATTAATTTGTAATATAATACTTCTTTTTTATATTTTCTAAATAAAACATGATTAATTTATTATATTATTTAACACGTTATTAGTTATTTTGTATCATATTTAGATGTTTATTTTTTATTCAATGTGTTGACCGAAATAAACAAAAAATTACGTACTTTGTTTTGTAAATATCAATCAAAATAATACGATACAACAAAAAACAATTCAAAAATATGATTTAAAAAAAAATAATGATAATTAATATTTCATATACTAATTAAAATATATAAATTTAATTATATTCATGAAATAATATTTCAAGTTTCAAATTAAAAAGTTTAAAAAACTATTATCAATCAAAACTGTCGATTTAACTATACGAGAGTTAGAAAAAAAAAAAAAAAACAAAAAACAAATATTAATAAGAAACACAAAAAAATGAGAAAAAGTTTTTTTCTAATCTGTCAGCGGATAAAAATATTTCAACGAAATTCTAACTTCTTATAGAATTTTCTTATCGATTCTATTCTCTCACGCGATTTTAAAGAAAGAGACACAGAAACAAAGAAAGAGAGAGAGAGAGAGAGAGAGAGACAGAGAGATAACATAAGTTAATTTAAATTACAAATAAATGAAAAATGAATCAAATCAAAATAGTTCCAAATTTCAATGATATCAAACAAAACCATAAAGTTACATCTAATTGTTCTTAAATCGTTAATCAAGATGATCAATGTTGATGATTCGTAATCGTCGGTGGTTTACCATTCGTGGTAATAATATAATAAGTATAGTTTATATATACCTTACGTTATTAAATCGTCCGATCAGATTATCTTCATAACTTTATCGAACCACAACACATTCCAATGTGCGGATCAATTTCTACGAGAACTGAAGATACGATTACTTTGCAAACCGAATCGAATCGAATAAAACTCGAAACCACAAAATAAAATAAAAAAAATACTCGAACTAAATTAAACGCGTTTACCACGCACGTTCATTTTCATTCTTTTATACATACATATATGTATGTATGTATGTATGTATCTTATTTTCTTGTATATTTTATCACAAAGTATCTATCTATCTATCTATCTATCTATCTATCTATCTATCTATCTATCTATCTATCTAAAAATTCGATTACAAAATCATTTGGTGTTGCGTTTACGAGTGTAATGATGTACAAATTTCTCTCTCTCTCTCTCTATCTTTTATATAAAGTATTAAAAAAAATAAAAGAGATGTAGCAAGAAGGTATTTTCCATCGATGGAATAAAAAAAAAAGAGAAAACGAAAATCAAATAAACATTAAGGGTAACAAAGAAATAGGAAGATAGAGAGAAATTTAAGAGATAAGGAAACGAGATTATTTTGGTACTTAAAATGACATTAGAGTCTGCCGAATTTTTCTTATTTCAAAAGATTTCAAAGAAAAAGGGATAGAAGAATAGACAAGAAGGCACCTTATCTCTATTTGACTTCAGCTACCATATATCTTTTTTCTTTTATAATGTAACTTTCACTTTTGTTCTATCTCAATTTTTCTATACTTGTTTCGTGTTCTTTACTTTTATGGTTTATTTGACCATACGAAGATTAGAAGATAAAGTAAATATTTGATGTGAAGGATTTTTGTGTTGAAAAGAACGTACGTTTATCGTTTTTTTTTTTCTTCTCAATTTTAACCATTTGATATGACCATCTTATTTTACGAATAAACAAAAATATAAACATTTAAGCGAAAAGATTTATGGTTTTTTCTTTTTCCAACGCGGAAAATCTTTTCTGTTAACTTCGGACTAATTTGTTTAGCTTTGAACTTTACTCTTTTACTTTGTTACACGATTATTTTTTTCTTATTTGATTTATTTATTTAATTTATTTGTGTTCATTTTATATTGTGCAACTTAACGAAATATAAGATTCCAAAGTATCATCTTTTAATGCGAGAAAGAGAGATAGAGAGATCAATTGTAAAGTTCATTTTAATTTAAGAAATATGTAAATGTTTTTATAAATTTTCCTTTTACTCATACACATATGTATATATATACATTGTTCATATGTAGCATTTAAATTTATGGTTATTTTAGAACGAACATTTTCAATCTAACGTAACAGGAATTTATATTATCTTCTAAATCGTATATTTGTAAATCGTACTCGATCAAATTCCAACTTATGTAACTATCTTCGACGAATTTAAGAATAGATCTTTTTTTAATGATATTTTAATGTTCAACCTACCCAAAGTTCGATCAAATAATTGCAGTAGGTCTCTAATATGTAATAATGCAATAATTTATGCAAAAACAAAATCCTACAATTTTGTGAAATGCACCGAACCTATATCAACCGTTTATAAATAAAAGCAAATTATTTCTATCTAATTACATTCTTATACTAATATAATATGTGTATTAATTTTTATTTTATTTTTTAAAGCAACATTTGAACCAGTCATACACGAAGTATCGGTAAATTTAGTACTAATACGATGCAAGCAAATAGAATGTAAAGAGATGAGGAAGAATGGTGAATGGGTGATTCTTTTTCAATACGTTAACACAAATTTAAAATGAAATATAAATATATTAATAATATGAATAATATATCGAGATAATGTTAAAGACAATAATGATGATGATACTACAAATGATGATTAAAATAACGAGAAGGAAGAAAACGGTCCTTACGGGATCTTAGATCGTGCATTGAACATACACGTATGACATTGACCGAGTCGCCTAAGCGCACGTACGAATTCAAAGGCCGGAGTTCGTTGTTGCAAGACGCTAACAATGGGATATTTATTCACGGCTCGTAGTAGACGACTATGTTGATGATGGTGGTATTGGTGGTGTGGTGGTGGTGGGTGTGCAYAACGTGGTGCCCCGTTGATTCCAATTAATTAATCGAGAATAATCCTTACCACCCAATCATCAATCCATCCTACCCTACTTTATCCCTTATATAAATTCTTTTTCTATTTTTTTCTCGAATCAACATTAGTGTTTCATGATTTTCGTTAGAGGATTTATTTCGATAATTTGAACGATATAAAATAGACAAACAGGGGTGAGTAATTTCTTACCACCCACCACCCTATCCTAGCCCCTTTATAAATTTATTTTCCATATTTTTCACGAATCAATATAAAAGAAATTATTTGACTAACATTAAGTGTTCTTTGATTTTCTTTATAGGATTTATTTCGATAATTTGAAGGACACAATCAGAAAAAAGGGGGTAAATAATTTCTTACCACCCACCACCCTATCCTAGCTCTCTTATAAATGTATTTTCCATATTTTTCACGAATCAACATAAAAGAAATTATTCAACTAACATTAAGTGTTCTTTCATTTTTGTTATAAGATTTTTTTTCGATAATTTGAATGACATAAAATAAACAAAGGGTTTCATCTAAATGAGATGGCATCGATTGGTGATAACCAAAGTCGTTAATAAAACACACGCACACACACGCAGGTGTGTATGATGCTGATGATGATGATGATGATGGAAGAAACCGTCGTTGTATGAATCGATTTATACGAGATAGATATGACCTCCCGGTTTTTTAGTTACTATCATAGTGATACGTGACATTATGCATGTATTGAAGAGAAAATGATAGAGAGATGAATATAATGAAATAATGTAAGACAGGTGTTTGTATCAGTTTGACTTACCTTTCGTCGAATAATCCATTCTTTTTCTAATGAAGAAAATACGAGATTCAAAGTCCAAATAAAATGAATTCTATCTTCTTATTTAAAACGAGAGAATACTTTTCTTCCTTGTCCGTAGATGAATAGGAAGATGATGATGATGAAGATGATGAAGAAGATGAAGACTTCACACCATCGGTACCACCGTGTCCGTAAAATCGATAACTCAATAAAACGGTGAAATATGTGGAGGTCCTATTAATCTTTCTATTTGGTATGTTCTAATTTTTATCTATGTATATATATATATATATATTTCTATTTGGTATGAGATAGTAATTGGATTTGATTTTCCTTATACTGTTTTAATACACAGTTAGCAAATCATAAATAGTTTTTTTCTCGATTAGCGTTCTCCACCTAATCCAAATGTATACGAACAGCATCACACGAATGCACTGAACCTCAACACTAATCTCTTTTCTTTTTTTTTTTTTTGAATCTTTTTAGTCCTTTTGCCGACACGAGTGTCTCAAGGAAGACATGTATAATTATTTGATTATTTCACAAACACATTAAACGTGAAAGCAAGAGATGAAACAATTTTTGATGTTATGTATACTTAATCAGTCTCACTATATAACACATACACATACACAGAGATATATATCTATATATATATATATTACACCGAAAATTCGTTGACCGAAAAAATATGAGAACGAATGATAGATCGTATGATATAACATATATATATGTTAATATCTTTATTCGCTATATCGTTCTATCAAAGATGAATTTGACACAACTTCATACACGTAAAGACACACGCGCACTAAACTCCGTTGATACACGGTGTTAGCGTGGGAGATAGCCGAAAAATGCAATAATATTAACGAGATTGAAATGTAACACCGAGGAGTCTCTCTCGTACGACACAACTCACCGCTAAGAAGCCACAGCGTACTCTGACCACTACTTCTCAGTTGAGTTGAGCCTCTTCTCTCGCATCATCCCACTTCTTCTTCCCCCTACCACGAATCTAAACCGACCAATACGACCACCCCCACCGCTACCGCCCTCGACCCCTACCACCGACATCGTGCCAGCGCAGAGAGCACATTCTCGTCCCACTCTTTCTTTTTCCCCATCATTTTCCCTCTCTCTCCCTTACTCTCTCTCTTTCTTTCACCGGTTTTCCTCCTCTCAGCAGCCAGGCTGCTGGCTGCTGCTGCCTGCTACTCTCCTTACGGTCGTCCCCACTCTTTCACCTGCCGCTACTACAAACGTATCGCGTTATGTGTCGGGTGCGTTCGCGTGCTTGTGCGCATGGATGTGTACGTGCGCGTGGTATTTTACTCTTCGTAGATTATTCATTTCTTTCTCTCCTATTTTTTTTCCTCTATCTTTCTCTTCTCTTTCTTTTGTTTTTTTTTTTTAATAATAATTTTTAGTTTTTATTAATTTTATTTTATATTTATATTTCATTCTATACTAATAAATGTTATTATAATGAGTACTTTATTCTATCATTTTCTGTAGGTTTAAATATTTTATTATATAATTTCTTTTTTTAATATTGTTATATATTTTTTCCGAATATTACACGAATATGTTCCTGAATGTTAAAATCATAATTAGGATTATTTATTATCATCTAAACGTATACAGAATATCTTCTTCTCTCTCCCTCTCTCTCTCTCTCTTTCTTTCTTATGGATAATATTATTGAGATTTTAAGAAAAATCAATTCCACTTTGATTGAAACAAATTACATTTAATATTATCTTCTCTCTTTCTCTCTCTCGTATACTTTTATAATCAATAACAATGTACTCTTCTTCCGTTTCTCATACAATTGATATTATTTATTTAATAATCTTTGTTTTGTCAATTAAAATTAATACGAGATTTTAAAGCAAATAAATATTACTTTAGAATGGTTTACAAATCTTTTTATATTTCACTTACGTCTGTTTTATTATATAATTCTTGTTTTCTTTCTTTTATAATTAATAAAAATTATTTGATTAATGCTCTTCTCTTTTTTATGTTGTTTCGAAATATCTATAGAATATCTTTTATCTTTCGATCGAACGTTTTCTCTTTATCTTCCTTCCTTTCTTTCTATTTGAAATGTTTTCCCATTTAATCCCCACCACTAAGTTAATGAGTTTACTATCAGTTCAGTCTCCGTACCTATTCCAAAGGTAATGTTTATACCATCTCGTCGTTATAGTCTTCGTCATCGTTTCCCCCATGTCATCATTCTCTATTCACCACCAATCCGATGCAAGGACAATTCAAACGTTTCCTACTCTTTCTCTTTCTTTCTCTTTTCTTCTTATTATACATATATTCTTCAACTTATATTTAACAACTATGTTCATTTATATTTCCTAAGGAAATTTATTGCTTAGCGTTGTTTAGTGATACGTTACGCGATCAATTGTATAACTGATAATGAATTTTATTAGAATAAAAATGTAATAAGATCGAGTTTTCAATTATACTAGGCATACTGTTAGTTTATTTCCAAAAGAGCAACAAGAAAATGTTTTCTTAAATGTTTTCTTCTCTTGTGTGTTCCCCCTTTTTAATCTTTTCTATAAACAAGAAAACACACAAAGAAAAAATATTAACTGTATGACAAGCATTATTTATTATTTATCTTTATTTAACGTATATTAATGAAATAATTCGTTAATGAACGTTACGTTTTCTTTTTCTTCATTAAATCATGTTAATCTTATATACGATTACGAATTAATTATTTATGCGAAAAAAAATATAGAATGAATAAACCAATGACGCAAACATATTGAAAATCTTTCGAAAAAAAAACAAAATTGTATCCGTTCGAATCTTATGAAAACAACCATACGTTGAATAATAGAATAATAATAATCTAAAATTAATTTATGTAAAAACGAACATCCGGTTTATTTAAATGATCAACAGAAAATGTTTCGAATTATTAAACGACAATGATGATCTTATTTTTAATAATTAATGAATCAGAAAATGAAAAGAATTAATCTTAAAATTTATGGTAATTGTTTTAATGAAAAACAACAAAAATTATTTCCAATAAATAAATTCTCAATGAAACCCCTTATTGAAACAATAAAATAATTCAATATAATAATCAAAATAGAACTAAAAAGATTAAATATTTATAAATATTTGTATCATATAGGAAAACGTTAATGATATAATAATAACTTTTTATAATGAAAAATTGCATTAAAAGTAACAGAATATTTTAATATAATAATCGTAATAAAACCAATAACCACTTCCTGTTGAATTATCGGATAATCATCGGATAATCGAAATCTTCATGATAAAAGTACTCACTAGTGTGATTCTATTCTTAATGATACCACTTATATATAATTTATATATAAAATTTTACCAAAGAAAAAAATTTAAATATTATAATACTTCATAATAAACTATTACCAAAAAAGAAAAAAAAAAAGAAAACAAAAGTAATAATCAAAACATAATTAGATTAATAATATATAAATATTAGTATTTATAGGACAACATTGACAATAATGACAATCATGAACAACAACACGACTATGATAATGATAACGATGATTATGATAATGAAGATCATGATAATGTTTATTATTAAAAAATATTAAACTCGGAAAAGGATTGGCGTCGATAAAACGTCGCATGTGTTTCCCAATCTAACATACGCTTGTTCGGGATAGAAGAAACAGAAAAGTGGGGTGGGATGGGGGATGGTGGAGGGGGTGAGGAATACGAGTTACGCCGATAAGGTGCAAGGTCGCCGTCATTGGATGGATGACCGAGCATTTCAAAATGTTTTAGTATTGATAATGTATGCTCGCTTATTTGCGTCAGTCAGGTTTTGCACGACGAGGTGGGCATCCAACCTCATCATCCAATGAACAGAACCAAATGAAAATTTTGTTGCCTATTATTACATTCACGTTAAGTTTGTCGAATATCTTATGCCTACCACTTTCCTAAGTCATTTTACGATCGCGATAAAAGTCCACGAGTCCGAATCGCGAGACAAATATACATATATATATATATAGTGACGTCAAAGTTCACGTGTATTTTTTTTTCTTTTTTTAGCAACAACTTCCACCTGCTTCCTTATTCCCTTATTTACACCTTGAAACACGACTATTGTCAAAAATTTCTCCACGCGTAATTCTAGTTCTTTTCGATAATTTTTTTTTTCCATTTTTTTTATTGCATTTTATATTTTTTACCATCACTCACCCACCCACACACAAACCTTCTTTTAACTATACCACTACTATCAAAAATGTGTCTATGAGAGAGTAGCTAATTTTCTTCAATTTTTCGTTTTCTATTTTATTGCGTTCTTTATTTCTTGTTGTTTTTATTTTTTTTTTTTTTTTTGTTACATTTAAATCAATCGGAATGTTTTTTTCCAATCTCGAACATTTCAATTGGTAATTAACACGTGTAAACTATTAACGATGGTTATTTCCTTCGTTTTTTTTTTTTAATTCAAATTTTCTCATGTATGTTTTGATTGTAATTTTGTTCAATGTTGTCTTTTCTATCTTTCAAATTCATTTACAATGATTATCTAATAATGTAAAAATCACCGATGATGTTACACGTCACGTTGATCAACTTGTTAAATAAATACGATTAATTTTGTTTTCTTTTCTTTTTCCTTTACTTTTAGTAAGAAGAATTAAATTGATAATACTTCTAATGAAAAAAAAAAAAATAAAATGTAATTTTTACCTGTTCGTATTTCGTATACGGTTTGTTGATGATATTTCTAATTATTTAACTAATTACTTTTTTTTAAATCTATATTATAAAACACGTGATATAATATTTCAAATTCAAGTGTATTTTCTTTTTCTTATTTCTTTTCTGTCAATTGTTCGTTTAATCCTATTTTCTATATCAAGTGTTTGATCTGTTCTCTTCCTTACGACAAAAGTTATTACATTGGAAAATAAATATCAAAAGATGAAATTAAAATTTCTTTTTCTTCTTTTTTTTTTTTTTACAATGAGTGAAAAAAAAATCAGTAAAATAGACGAACTTTTTATTTCTTGCAATACAAATCTAAAAATATCTTCAAATTTCTATTATATACTATATATAATACTACTATATATATACTATATGTAATAAAAATTTGAAGATATTTTTAGATTTGTATTGCAAGAAATGAAAAGTTCGTCTATTTTACTGATTTTTTTATTTTATTACATACTATATACAATACTACTATATATATACTATATATAATAAAAATTTGAAGATATTTTTAGATTTATATTGCAAGAAATGAAAAGTTCGTCTATTTTATTGATTTTTTTTCTCACTCATTGTAAAAAAAAAAAGAAGAAAAAGAAATTTCAATTCCATCTTTTGATATTTATTTTCCAATGAAATAACTTTTGTCCTTAGAAAGAGAAAAGGTCGTACACTTGATATAGAAAATAGGATTAAACGAACAACTGACAGAAAAGAAGTAAGAAAAAGAAAAGACACTTGAATTTGAAACATTCACCATGTGAATAATAGAAACGAAAACTATAATATTAAGAAAAAAAAGAAAAGGTTTGTGCTATAAGAAGAAATTTTATTTTCATAATGTTTTTCTACCTACTTCCTTTCTTAATGTATTATTTAAGAATAAAAGATTTCGTCTGGAAATATTGTTAATGTTCTATCGAGAGAAAGAAAGGAAAGTAAAAAGAAATTTACAAGGGATCGTGAATAAGACCGTGCACCCTTCTTTAACAGTTCACCTTTTCTCTTTTTTTTTGTCATCCCTTATAACAAAGAAAGAGACTGGACCGTCAAATTCTTCATAGAGTCAACGTAGAAAAGAGGGACTGTAAATGATCAAACGGAAGTCAAAGGAACGGTTGACGTCAACTGTTTTTTCGA